AGCAATTCTGCCCGTACAGTTGTGCTTCGAGCTTGGTTCGAAACGTTCGGTGTGGGCCTCTACAGCATGTGCATAAGTATTCTTACTGTCGTTAGGTAGTCGCTAAAATGCAGACTGGGCTCTGCCTGTCAACCGTACTTTAAGAAACTTTAGCTTGGCATCGTCATCCCAGCCATTGACTTCAGCCAATTCTGAAAGTGGATGACCTATTCGTCCCACTCACCGCACTTAGAGTCCCCACTATACAGTTCAGGAAAAATTACTGTCTTAGTTGCCATAGTAGACCCACTGCGCCAATGTAATAATTGTCTTATCCAAATCCAAGCAACAGCAAAATCAATAATCAGTATATCACAAAAAGTAATAATCATCGACTAACACATGTGGTTCTCTCTCTAAAATTAGTTACTCTCTCACAGTTATATAAAGTAACGTAAGTGTACACCCACACTCATTACATGACTAATACCGGGATGACAATCATATATTTGCTCCAGTACAATATGCTGACCAACAGAAGGAATAGTAACCCGAGAACCCCATAAAACACACCCATCAATAACTGATAACTCACGCCAACGACTATGAAACGTAAGCAATTAAGGATCTGGATTAGAAATAGTCCATCCATGTAGAATGAGTCGGTGTACTCTTGAAAGAACAGGATCATTGTCCGTCCATTTACGAATGGTTTCTGCTGTTACGATCATGGTAGACAACGTATACATGAGATGAGCAACCTCAGTAAAAATCAGAGTAACGTCGAGAGTATCAGGGAGCGGGAGTCCACTCAATCCATCTGCATGAGCAATAGCTTTCCCAGGCTTGTGAGTATTAGAGTAATCATAAGCTCCTAACATTAAAGCCCATCATTGGATACAAGCTGAAGCCTTAGCAGGGACTTGCTTAGAGTCATGGAATAAGTACTGCAGAGGTTTGTGATCAGACTGATTATGGAAATGTCGACCATGAAGGTACTGATGAAATTTACGGACACCAAATATAATCGCCAATGCCTCTATTTCAATTTGATAGTAGTTCTCAGCTTGTGAAAGGGAACGAGATGCAAATGAGACGAGTTTATCACATCCATCAATCATTTGGTGAATCAAAACTGCTCCTAAGCCATATGGAGAGGCATCAACAGAGAGTATCAGGGGCTTAGAAGGATCATAATGAACAAGAATACTCGATGATTGTAGGAGTGCTTTAGTGTCTGAATATGCTTTCCTTTCAGTTTCTGTCCATGACCATGGGGCATCTTTCTGGAGTAACCTGTAGAGGGGAAAAAGAATAAAAGATAAGTTAGAAATAATTTTGTAATAATAATTAATGAGTCCTAGAAATGCCCTGAGTTCCGTCACATTTTTACATTCCAGAGCTTCTTGAATGGCCTTCACTTTATCAGGAGATGGATGGAGACTGTCGTTCAATGACGTGACCAAATAAGAAATGGACTTTAGGCCAAATTGGCACTTAGCATTCTTCACAGTAAAACCAGTACTATCTAGTTTGCTCAGGACTTGAGATAAAGTCTGTATGTGATCATGTTCATCTATACCTGAGACAAGTGTATCATTTAGGTAGACACGTACTTGAGGAATATTAGCTAGAAGGGTTTCTAAGATCCGTTGAAAAATATAAGCGGAAGTCATTCCAAATGGTAAACGGTTGTATTGAAACAATACCTTATGAGTATTGAATGAAGTGAGTTTACGCCATTCCTCATTTAGAGCAATTTGCTGGTAAGCATGGGCCAGATCGACCTTAGAGAAAAGTGTACCTCCAGTTAACTTTGAGAACAAATCTTCAGTACGAGGAAGTGGGTACGTATCTGCTTGTAAGACAGTATTGACAGTGACTTTGTAGTCACCACAGATCCTGACTGAGTCATCTGGTTTCAGGACTGGAACTATTGGAGCTGCCCATGAAGAAAAATTAATAGGAGTAATGATCTCATGTTGCTGTAGTCAGTTGAGCTCTTGTTCTACCTTATTACAAAGATGATAAGATACCGGGCAAGGTTTGAAGAACTTAGGTTTAGCAGACGGAAGTGTCTGAATTGTAATCGAACCATCTTTAATGAGCCCCTGTTCATCAGTGAAAACAGAAGAAAAACAACCAATAAAACTATTAATAGTCTGAGGCTGAACAATATTGTGAATGTGGTTCCAATTCAAACGAATAACTTCAAGGCAATTCCGTCTTAAGACAGAAGGACCATCACCTTAAATGACTATCAATGGAAGAAAAACTGACTGTGAATTACAGTGACATTCAACGATCGCAAAATAGTAACGGTTTCTCCACTGTACGTTCGAAGGACAATGTCTGAAGGTTGTAGTCAAGTAGTAGGGAAGTAGTTATGATAAGTCCTTTCACTTATTTTAGAGAAAGCTCCTCCTGTGTCAACTTCCATCTGAAAATCAACATTGTTGATAGAGACCTCAAGTGGTGGATAGTTTTGATTAGGAAGAGTTAAGAGGGTGTACTCCTGTGGTCAGTGCTCCCAGTTTGTTAACTTTGCTCCTGAGTAAGAGGCTGAGCTGGATTCTGAACTATTTTGATATTAGGCTGTCCTTGTGGGCTAGGTGCTGACTGTAGTTTTGCTGAGTCAGTCAAGGTTTGAGTCCTCTTTGAGTTACACACTTTCAAAAGGTGACCCTTCTTTCCACAGTGTTGGCAAATAGCCTCTTTGAAACTGCATACTGTTGCATAATGTCCAGCAGTACCACATCTGTGACAGATTGGTTTAGTAGCGGCTCACGATTGAGTGGTGGTATTAGTAGTCTGTGACGAGTGTTGTTTATGAGAGTGAGATGGTAAACCTGAGCAAAAATTCTTTACGTGAGTAGTAGTAGTACCACCAGCAAAGAGATCCAGAGCATTCTTAGAAGCAGATTCTATAGCAATAGCAATATCATAAGCAGTCTTATAGTCTAGCTTGGACTCTTGTAATAGCCTTCTCTGGATAGCTCTATCATTCACACCACAGACCAGGCGATCCATTATCATATCATTGAGTGTAGGTCCAAACTGACAATGTTCTCCTATCGCTCGAAGAGCAGCTATGTAAGTAGCAATAGATTCTCCTGCATGATGCTTTTTCGAGTTAAACTTGAATCTTTGAATGATAGGTGACGGTTCTGGAGCATTATGATTCTTCAGAGCTCCTAGGATGTCAGTAAAGGACGTGTCTGCTAGCGTATCTGGCTGTACCAGACTCTTGGCCAGCTCAAAAGAAGTTGAGCCACAGACAGCTAAGAACATACTCGTCTGCTTATCCCGGAGATACCCTATAGTCTCTTGTGGTACCTCCCGAAAAGCAAACTGAACATAGGGTATGAATCTATCACAGTCCTTGCCATCTTCGCATGCAGTTTTCCTCAGCATTCCCTTGAGAGTTTGATTAAACCTTTCCACCAAGCCGTCTGTTTGAAGTGATAGGGGCTGGTCCGAATAGCATTCACACGCAGTAATCGATATATTTCTACCAGTAATTGAGAGGTAAAGTTACTTCCCTGATCTGTTAACGGGAATTCCCATTCTAGAGAAAATCTTCACCAGCTCTTCTGCAATTGCTTCAGTGTCAACAGTTCGTAGGGGAACTGCCTCTAGATACCGTGTAGCATCATCACACACCACCAGGACATAACAATGTCCTGCTCTTCTCCTTGGGAGTGGTCCAATGATATCTATAGGAGAATGGTACGTCCACAACATGTAAGGGGATCATTGGGGTTCTTGGCCACTTCCGATGAGATGTCTTCAGGCAAATCTCACAGCTACCACAGAAATCAGCTGTATCACGGTATATGGTTGGCCAATAGAATCTTCTGAGAATCCTCTCCACGGTCTTCTTGCCTAAATGACTTGCAGAGGGAATAGTGTGTGCAGTGTACAAAATCAACTTATGATACTCCTTGGGTAGCACCAGCTGATCAATGGTGGTCTCACCACCTTGGTGTGGAGGTATATAGCGTCTAAAAATCAGACCATCTTTCTTAAAGTAACCATCCTCCACATCATCAGACTTCCCTTTACAGGCAGCTCGTATTTTTCCAGTGTTACATCTGTAGACTGTATCTGAAGTAGCACCTCCCTACTCACAGGAACCTCCATCTTCTTCGGCTTCTGATCCTTTGCTCTCTCCAGTCCATGACTGTGTCGCTGTGCTCTTTTCTGACTTTTAGTCTTCAGAGTCCTTACTGGCTTGCTTAAGAAGAAGTCCTCTGAAAATGGAAACTCGCTTTCCAAAACTACCTCCTCAGCACTAGCTTCCCCATTCCCACCACTCACCGTTGGGGAAGTCAGCTCTAGTGGTTTCGGTACCCCACAAGACAATGCTTCCTTCTGAGCCCTCTCCAACTCATCTCTTTCCTCCTGCCTTGCTCGACTTCTTGTCATTACAACTAGAGCCTCTTCTACCCCATGTGAATGCATCACACCATGCTCACCATGTAACAGTTTCCCCAAGACAGGAACATCCATTCCTAATTGTACTGACACAGGAAGACAATCAGCCCTGCTGCTGTCACAACCATCCTGTCACTTCCAAGCTCCATCTCCTCTTCAGCTAGGGGGTACAGCACGGTATCACCATGAGCACACCTCACTGCCACTGCTTCTAATTCTATTAGTTCGTCTTCTGGTACCAAGTCACATCGCACCATAGTCCTAGTAAACCCAGTATCCAGCACTATGTCCTTCACTCTAGTCCTCTCTACAAGAACAGAACTTCTAGACATTCGTTTCGGGATTCCTCCACCACAGAACCAAGCTTTATCTGGACACTGCATCGACATGTGGCCCAGATTCCCACAGCTATAGCACTTTACGTTCCTCAGTGTAGGTTTCCTTTTCTTAGTTTCCTCATCTTTAGTAGTGGCGTCCTCTCGCTCTCTTTTTGTGGGACAGTTGTAAGCAAGATGTCCATTTTGTTTGCATACGTGGCACATTCTGCTATCAGCCCCACCCTTTCGCTTAATTGAGTCTTCACCAGTCTTCTCCTTTCCACCAGTCTCCTTCCAGTTCTTCCCAGTCATCCTTCTAGCTGTCATACAGTCGTCCGTTACTGTAGCAGCTTTATCTGCCGACTTGGGCTTCCTCTCATTCACCCATATCCTTAGCTCAGGCGACATCACATTGAGTAACTGCTTGAGTAACATTTTCTCCCTCAATTCAGCCATGCTTCTACACCCTACAGTCCAGCGCTCAAGAAGGTCAGACATCCTAATTGCCTGCTCAATGTAGCCGTCTCCTTCTTTCCTTCTAGATGATCTGAACCTGGATCTGTAGGTCTCCTCGTTGATGTTATACCTTCTCAGGATGGCAGTCTTGACCTCGTACTTCTTTTCGCTGTCACTAGTCACTGCTGCATAGGCCTGCTGGGCCTTTCCTGTCAGTTGGGGAGCCAACCAATAAGCCAAGCATTCCTTGGGTACCTCATAGGCCTCCATCAGTCTCTCAAAAGTCTTCAGGTAAGCCTTTACGTCCTCCCCCTCAGTCAGTTCTGTCAGCTTTACCGCGTCTTTGGCAGTGGCGGATCTAGGGGGGGCCTGGGGGGGCCATGGCCCCCCAAAATTTTTGTGGTGAAGACTGTGAAGTATAAAATTATGTAAACTGTGAAACAGCTGCAAAGCTTGACTGTGTAAACAGTCTGTAAACCACAAAGGAGCTCATTTAAGAGGCCTAATCTTCTAAATTTTGACTTTCCAAATGAAATCCTGCAAGCCTGGTTGACCGCACCCACTAATTATCCCACCCATATCATTAGGCCCCCCAGAAATTCAAACCTAGAACCGCCACTGGTCTTTGGGTTCCCCTTTTGGTGGTTCCCCCTCCAACGCAGGTGTTGCTGGTAGAGTGAAAGAATGGAGAATCTCCATCTGTCCTTTGAGCTTCTCCACTTGTAGCTGATGCTCAGCATCTTGTCTCTTCTGCTCAGCTGCTGCCTCCTTTGCTCGGCGTTCCCTTTCTTTTGCAAGCTCAATCTGTCTTCTCCTGCCCTCCTCATCATGACGTTGCCTATCCTCCAGAACGACCTTCAACAATGCTGCAATACTCTCGGTTTGAGATGCCATCCTCTCCAGTTGTTTCGCCTTCTCTGCTGTAGCTATAGGTGAAGTAGTTTTCCCAGACATAGTAGTTGGCATTCACTATCTCTCTCCACTAAAGGGTCTTGCTTGAACTCTCAGCAAGAGTATACCATCGCTGCCACCAAGTGTAAGAAATCTACACTTGCCCCCCCAGGCTTACGCCAACTACAAGAATATTTTTAGGTCATAAAACCAACCAACCAAGTTTGGGCACTTTTATATTATTTTCAAAATCATGTGACACAAACAAGTTAAAACTAGTTATACATATGACACACACATGACAAACACATGACATAGAGAGTTCTTAGTTATATGGCAACCTTGGAAAGCATGGGCAAGCCTGAGCTGTCATCCCTCATATAAACCACAGTTGCACAAATTAGTCTAAGTTCAAACCACAATACATTATTAATACACAATACATACACCACTAATAATCAATAACACACATACAACTAATAATTCAAATGATAATGATACACATACACATACCTATATAATAAAGAATAATAATCAATAGTTTTTAATCTATCACAGAAATTCCAAAATAAAATCCACCATTTCAAGCCATTATATGTGTGCTCAATGGTATGTGACCACATATTTCCCAATATAAAAATTGCCAATTGCAAAAATTTAACAATTTGCCAAATTTAACTCCTTCCAAAATTTCCTGCTATATGGGATAGCTACGCATCATTTATCTGGTCACCTTTAGCAATCCACCATGCATTTTGCACGTACAATTAGCTACATAGACCAATACAATAACTTTGAACATTAAATAACATCTATAGAGTACATTTGTTAACTTGTTTATAATAATCAATGTAGTTGGGTAACATATTCTGATACATTGCGTCTTGATTTTCATGTCATAGATGGGAATGGCGTGTAAAATTTGTTTTTGAGACATTCAATCATGTGTTGTCACATGTGTGACTGATCAAATATATTGTTAACAGGATCATCTCTATAAAGAATAGATACTGTATATGGTACTGCAAAGCAGGCACAATCCTTATCACCTTTTGCTTCACCAACCACGGTACTTTTACCATAGCAGATCCATAGAGGGCAATGAGCTGCTTCTTTAACTCTGAGTGAATGATCTCTGTGTACAAGGAGTCATAAAGAAAAGCAATGCCATTCCTAAAATGACTAGTAACCAATGGTCCCCAAAGTTGTCGAAAAATAATGAATCGTTTGTAGCCAGCTAAATGAGAATTAGTTTCTGAGTATACAAACATGACTGAATCATTGGCATGTCTGGGAATTGTTGTGACAGTAGTTTAGCAGTAGCTATGACATGCTTGTCTGAAAGGGGATGGGCTCCTTCTAGCTGTAAACAATCATTTTCCTGAAGATTCAATTCTTTTATCAAGTAGTTTACAGGGCTAGTTGGTATCTCGTCAATGAGCAAGAGCATACCTGTGTACGGGTATGACATAAAATTGATGGCACACTAATAAAAATAATATACATGTACCTACAAACATCTTGACATTTTGATAACAGCTGTTTTTCTCATCATATGACTTACACAATGTATTTTTACCCCAAAACAAAGCATGCTGGAGGTTATCTTTACAAAAAAGGAGACCTGTACCAAAATGATGTTGCATCACATGAATTTCATAGCGTTAATACCCTTTTCCTTTCGGCCATCTCTTCCAGCCCTTCCAAACTGTTGGACTACCTGCAAAATATTTTTTGTTATTTCAACCTTTATAAAAAGTTAGAACTGAGATGACCTTTAGTGGCACTTGAAATGACCACATTGAAATATATTAGTTTTAACCCATTTCTCTTTAGTAACTTTAAGGAAGTGTCTAGAGCTCCGGTAACCGGACACAGTATGCAGTGCTAGAGCTCCGGTAATAGGGGCTTCGCCCCTATATATACTGGGGCTACGCCCCAGTATTAATAATACACTAATTTATATTATAGAAACCGAGTATAAATACAACAACCAGCGTTGATGATGCAGCAAGGTCGTGGTGGTGCAGTGGAGAGGCTGGTGTGGATTGCACGGATATGGTCAGGGGTTCGAATCCGGTCAGGACTACCGAGTAAAACTATGCTGCAGTTTTTGATTTTTTTTTCTTTTTAAAATATCTTTTTGCAATTTTTTTTCTTTTTGGCTTTTTTTGGGTCAAGAAATAGCACCCTCTCGTACATCTTAGCCTCCGGGGTCGTAGGGTTGGGATTGGGGTTAAGTGTTTAGTTTTTAGAGCACCCTCTCGTACATCTTAGCCTCCGGGGTCGTAGGGTTGGGATTGGGGTTTAGTGTTTAGTTTTTAGAGCACCCTCTCGTACATTTTAGCCTCCGGGATCGTAGGGTTTTGGGGTTAGGGTTTAGTGTTTCTTGATAAAAAGACTAAGTTCCATTTTGCACTACTGCGCATGCGCACAAGCTGTTTTACGGAGAAAAACGGACTGCCGGAGCTCTAGCATTGCAAACTACGTCCGGTTACCGGAGCTGTAGACACAGCCTAACTTTAACCATTGAAATTATGTTTAATATAACCTGTAAAAAGTAAATTTAAACAGATATTAAGATCAATTCAGAATAAATGAAGTGAATAAATGGAACTCATAATCATCAATTATATAATTCACGAATCAACAAAACTTGCAAGACTGGTAGTTATTGACAAGTATGATGAACTCTTCTTCTCATTAGAAGGTAACAGGTAAATCAACTCTTGGAAGAAAAGGGTAAGATCCTCCAATTCTCTGCAGTACTCTAAATTATATATGAAATGAGAAGCAAACGAGATTGAAAGGGCCTCAGTAAAACATTTAACAAAAGTAGTAATTGAACCCTCAATAAATATGAAGTAGGAGTTGTCAAAACACCCTATTAAAGGAGTGGCCACTTTCACTTAAGCAGCGATTTCTTCTGGGTTGTTTGTAATCTATAGTATAATACTCAAAACTGAATACAAATTGAAATCAAACATACTTCATACTCTTTAAAAATTTGGGATAAAGTAGTAGTTAAAGCAGATTTCTTACTAAAAAAGTGCACCAACAATGATAATGCAAGTTTGTCTTCATCTCCTGTTATAAGATATTAGTATAATGTAATTATGTAACTGCATGTACAAAGAAAAACTTACCTTTATATGTCTCTGAATACTTCTCTTTAATCAGTAATACTAACTTTGTTCATAACGAATCTGTGTATTCAATAGTTGCTTTAGCCCAAATACGCCATTTTGAAAGATGAATATTCAAAATATCTTTCTTCCCAAAAATTTTTGAGGTTTCTTCTTAAATCTAAATATTAAAAAATACAAACCATTATTGTGCTACAAGAATTAATTAAAATTTAAACAAAACACAATTTGAGGCAAGGAAACATATCAATTATATCAATGATTGAGTGGACATCCCCTACTTCACCAAGAACCATTTCCCTTCTACCAGAAGTTTTGTGGATTAGCTGTAGCAAAACCTTTTTTCATGGATTAGACATCTTCATTTCTGCTTTAATCTTTTCGAGATTTCTAGAAAAGCTATATTGGTCTCCATAATCAGAGGAAACTGGTGGATACAGTGATGTTGTGCAAAATTTTGTAGGACAAAGTCTTTTTTCGACAGGTGTGTCAATTGGTTCCTGTGATGCCTTTCCTTTTACTGAACGTGTATTATGCACTCTATCAATTATCTTCTCCCATGACCCCTAAAATTATGAATTCAATGTATGCCATAATATTACTAAAATCCGTTATGGAATAATATACATGTAATAGGAAAAATGGGTTGGGGCAACAAAAAGTAACGACAAAAATGGCTCAGTTACCCCAATAATAAAAAAATACATATTTGGCCAAGTATAATACTGCCTCTTGAAATACACCAAAATATAAAATCAAATATTATTGGGGCGAGCCTGAGCTCGCCCCACATACACGAGACGAGTATGTTTGTCTGTCTGTCTGTCTGTCTGTACATGTACGTCACCCCTATTTATGTGTACTACGGTAGATGCTATGCATTGAAAAGGGTATCTAAATTCAGTTTTCAATATTTCATTAAAAGTGAGAGTGGCCACAATGAAATAAAATGGTGACCAACACAACGGGAAGGGTCATAAGTTTTCTGGCAGCAAAATAAGACAGATATTCTGTCCAAAGGCTTCTCCAACAGCCTGGCAAGGTTATAAATGCAATAAAGTAACTATGAAACTTGTTTTTGCTGATAACTCGACTTACTGTACTTGCATACTACTGTCCAAATGCTGCAAGGAATGTCAAGAAAGCAGGTATGCCATCTTTATTGATGTGAATGGCTTTGAATGTCTGTCACAGCCTGAACTAACTTGGACTACATTGCTACAGTTGCCTATC